AGTTTTCGATGATGTTGCAAAGAAGTGGCTTTTGATCTATAGAGTCACAAAGGATTGCGGAAATGTCGCATACAAAGACTTCTTCGAGAAGGTTGCCGTTCCCGAGGTGAAGGAGAGGAACGAGATTTTTGGATTCTCCCGTGCATCTGCCGAGAAAACTGGAGATATCATCGAGTTCTGGCTTGGTGTCTTGGACGTGGCCAATATGGCCAAGGGAGTCGTAGATGTTTTCAATGCTAGTGTTGATCCAGCTGAGTATCTCAATGGATTGGAAAAGGCACTGGCTCAATTTACATCGACCTCCCGAACCTCGAGCACCATCAATGACAAGAGACGGGGATCCTTCGACTGCACACTGCAAACTGCAGAAGCCGAAAGGGTCATGAAGCTCATCCACGCAATCCCCGGATATGATTCGCTGGCCAATTTCTGCTGCCTCACGGACTGGGAGAAGGATCAGGTATTCTCTCATTATCGCAGGAAGAACAACATCACAGGGGGTGACGCCAACATGGGCACTGATGCCGATGCCAAGCCAGGTGACGAGTCGTCGGCTCACCCTGGGGAGGAGGAAGCTGATGAGCCAGCGAACGACCCCACCGATGTGGTCAGGGACTCAGAGAATTCCGGGAAACAACAACTTTTGGATGCGTTGGGAAAACTCTTCACCGTCTCTGAGGATGTCAACGTGTGCTTGTATTGTGGTAGCACCCAACATGGCCATCTTGAATGTGATCATGAGAAGAGGGATGAAGTCAGAAAAGTGCTAAAGGCCATCCGAGCGTCGCTCGAGGCTGATAGTCCAACATCTGATGACGTCGATATGGAGCCTCCTGAGCACAAGAAGGACGGTTCGGGTGCTACTGATGGATCGGGGCAAACGGATGAGCCTACAAAATCGAGGTTTGGTGAACACCAATGGTACGACAGCATCAGAACTATGTCTGAAGTTGGTGACCTCGATGAGTATGGCAGATTCTGCATAGAAGGACGTGATGTTACAAAGCTAGGACCACAGAAGATTGTTGACCTCAACGAAGTGGTCAGAGACGCTATTGTCAGAGGAGGAGGTGACTCTTGGTCAGTGCCAGACTTTATGGCAAGCTACTCTGATAACAACATCAGGAAGCCCTTCTACAAGAGAGTCGAGGCGCCGCAAGATGGTTTCTTGAAAATCATCCCGACCACGGGGGCCCATTTCTTCAACTGCTCTTACTTTGGCGGTGTAGAATATGCGGCCAACTACCGATTCGAGACTGGCAACCGACTCAATACCTACGAGGACAAGGTGAGTACATCACTAAACAGGATCCTGCGGCACAACGTGGGGAAGGTATCAGAACAACAGAGTCTGTCATGTGATGACGCCGGCTGGGTGCCCATAGAGGAGGTGCTCAAATGCGAGTCTATCTGGAGGCACGAGTACGCACGCTGGCCACATGTATTCCTTGCTCCAAAAGGGAGAGCAAATGATCAGAGTGCATGGAATGTCGATGAGGCAAACTACCGCATGACGTTGCTCTTCAAGATCATGTTCCACTGTGCCCGGTATGGACGTCGTGTTCGTGAACAAGTCTTGGCATTTGGTATCAACAAGGACATCGAGCGCACCAGCCTGACGTGCATTGACAACAAAGTCGATGCGAACACGAACATTCCTGATGAAGGTCTACTGCTCTACCCTGTGGCGGTCCGTGCTCCTACGGGGCACAAAGAAGGATCTTCAAGGGACGACGTCTCATTGCTGTCCTCATTACTTTCACATCCAATCGCGCCCAACACCATTTTGTCGTTACCGGTTTGTTTCCACATCACCAAGAAGACCAACCTTCGAAGCATTTGGAGGCAGGGATTAATTCCAGGAGGTCTTGGAGAAGGTCATCGGATGTTCACGTTCTTCAACCCGTATGTGCCATGGGATCACAGATCATGGACTATCACGAAGAGCGTTGATACGCGAAAGGGGGACTACATTTGCTTGTTCATCCCGACCGAGACCTTGATGGTGGAATATGGCGGTCGACTGACTGACTCGGGACAGATCGTCTCACCAAAGATCATCCCGTTCTCGGCAATCAAAGGAGGATGGATTCAGGACCCAAAAGACCAAAACAATAAGACATGGCTCCGGTTGTTCGTCCCGTCGGGCGACGACCAGGTAGTTCGGTCTGGAACTGTCAAATCAAGAACGGTAGCCACCAAGGAGTCCATCTTGAGGGTTGCAAGTCAATGCATCGACGCCGAAGATCAACCGTTTGACGAAACCGCCATGGATGCCATGAACATCGTCAACCAATTCAAGAACGACCTCATCAAGCCTGGCGGACAAGAACAATACCTGGCCCGCATCAAGCTGATTGACTACATAGTCGAACGCAAAAGGGTGCAAACATCAGGTTGCCGCCATTGTCCTCACTGTCTCAATGAGACGCCGACAAAACTAGCAGTGTGTCTAGTTTGCTGGACGGAACTGGAAAGTTGTGGAATCCGTCCCTATCGGCTACAAGCTCCTGAAGACGATGAAGATGAGGCCACGAAGAAAGAGATCGATGAAGAGGTTCGTCGACAAGAAGAATCGTTGTTCAAGGATACGGTCCATCAAGCACAAGAAAACGTATCCGAATCCAACGACTATGGCTTCAATCCCGACGAGGTCGACTACAACGAAGGCGATGATGAAGAAATGGATCAGGAGGAGGAAGCCCAACAGGAAGACGACGAAATCGTTGAAGAAGACGAAGATGAAATGGAAGTCGAACCTGAAGATGAATCCTCTTCCAAACTTCCAGCATGGACCATGAACCTCGAGAGCGGCAGCAAGGGTATGCCAGAAGACGGACTTATCAACAATGATGTCTCCGAGGCCGCGGCTCACTTGTATGACAATGCTGTCATGTCAAAGGTCATCACAATGTTCAGGCTCTACTACAAACAGAGAGTCACTCTGACCCCAGAGGAGTACTATGAGATGATGACGGAAACCAAGCGAGTCCGGCTGGACCTGGACGACTTCTGTCCTTATACAGGAGAAGACCAGGATGGCAACCTCAAGCGACCGACGGAGCTGGAATTGGATGAACTCTTTCAGCAGAAAGGGAAGAGGAATTCATGGTCAGAAGGAGAGAAGTTATACTCAGGGCGACCAAGAAACATGATGATGCCTGTCATCAAGACTTTGGAAATCTATGAGAAGATGATGGAATTTCTGGTACGCGCTGGGTACACTCCTGAGTCATTAGGTTTTCTCATGCCAATGACCCGAATGCAGGCTGATGCCCAAGGGAAACAGGAGATGCGAGTAACCATCAGCAATTTCCTTCGACGACTGCTCAAAGGAACCTTTCCGGAGCACGAGTCATACACCTTCTTTCGCTCCGGGAGCCACGGCTTCCCCAACTGCATTGAACTCCAAGCTTTCTCGGTATATCTGAGCCTGAGGGAGAAAGAACAGAGAGTAGAACTGCTCTTTGCAGCCCAACAATGTGGCATTCCTCTACCTCAAAACTTTGTCAGCAAGATGGCTTATGCTATTCAGCTGGCCGAGGCCGAAGCGCAGAGGGGAAAGACCGAAATGAAAGCGAAGATGGCTCCAACCCTTGGCGACGAAGTGGTGAGTGAAGTATTCAAAGCGGTTGGACATACTGCAGCTTCCAAGTTTGCTAAACCACCTGCACAACCTTCACAGACACCTGAAGGCACTGGTTCAGCATCATCCTCATCGGCTAGTGCACCAAAGGGCAAGGCTATGCCGAAATCCCATGAACCATCAAAGGCACCGCCTGCAAAGCCTTCATCGCCGAAAGCTGCTCCGAAACGTGCGGCAGGATGGGAGAGAACTCCAACAGCACCTCAATGGAAGAAAGTCCGCCGTGAGCAGTAAACCAATTGCTTCGATCCGTCAAAATGATCACTGGGCTACAAGATGTTTACCGTCTTTATGAACAGATGATCAGGAAAAGACCAACTGAGTGGACACTGAGCGAGGCATTAGACTAATTCGCTTAGGTTCAAGACTTTTGATATTCCCAATCTGCACGAGATTCTGCATTGTGCACGTGAATTCGTTAGTTAGCATTGTAAATCTTTGGTAGCGAGGCGATCCATTTCTCCCGACGGGTGAGTGGCATGCTTAGCCAACGTAGAAAAGTAGATGTTAGCTAGCAATAATTCGCGTTGTATAGCTCGAGGAAGCGCCGATGCATCGACAGCCAAAGAGTAGGTGAACCCTGAACCATTATACCCGACGGGTATGTGGGGAAGGGGGGATCCAAATGGCACGGTTTATGTACATAGGCGTAATTCGAGCAGCAGAAGGACTTAATTCAAAGTTCCCACTCTCGTGCCTACGGTTCGAAGATGCCGTAGGCATGGGGGGTGCGAAAGGGAACCAGGTAATACAGCAACTGCACATGCTGAGCATGTAAACAATTATGCATGGACTGCCAATCACTTGGCTCAAGTCATGCGCGAGGAAAAAGACCGTTCTCCGAACGCCATGCAGTGACGTTGCCCTGCACTACCAGCACAACCGGTACTACAATCAAAAGGGATAATCCAGAACAAGGATCAAATTTGTTCACAGTTTTTATATATGTGCGTATATATATATATATACATATATATATATATATATATCTGTATATACATATATATATACATATATATACATATACATATATATATATATGCACATGATATCACTATATATATATATACATACGCACAAGGATATAATGATTAATGTTTATGATTGTTTATGTATTTATATATATATAAACGCATATGATGTCAAAATACATGAGTGCGCGTGTGTTTTCAGCAAATTTGCATGGATAATTTGGGTGTTATTTGATGCGCAAACAAAAACCATAATCCTTTTCCGACTTGAATAAAATCCAGAAACCCTGATGCACTGACTAATTATATTGGATGTGTTCCTTAGGGCTTCATTTGGGCGAGGGTCTCCTGATGACCCTGCATCGAGTCTTCTGTCAATCTAGGCCTGTCTGAGTTCCAGACGCTCTGTGCTGCTTGGAATCAACCTGTGATGGAGGATCTGAGGGGCTTTCGTCCACTTGGATAGTTTCCGAACCAAAAAATAAGAAAAAACATGGACAACAGGCCTTCGTAGCTGCGTGATGGTTCCCAAAGGCTTTGATTTGCAATCATGATCCAGGGATATCCAGGGGGGATCCTTCCAAATGAAACAGTGAATTCCATAGCCTGAGAGTCGCCACATAGCCCCGGCCCGGATCAACCGAACAGCAGCGGCTCTCAGGATGCTTTGTTGGACTTTGCTGCCTGGCTTGGCAAATAAACATGCCTGGAAGTCCACATCATGACCCGATTTTTTGTGGCTATTTGTAGGATTTTGTAGGTAAGTATCATTGTTTGTCCACATGCCTACTTGTTGAAGTGATCCAATGACACACGGACGGAGATTGGAACAGAACACACCCTGCCTGCAGCAAAAGTTGCTGACCCTACCCCGCCCGACTGCTTGCAGAGTGAACAATACAGCTATACTACGTATATTGCGCAATTCATGCGCCAATAGTCGTCAAGTCCATTCTCTCAAAAACAATGCCCCTATAGCCTATGACCGATTCACTACTCAGCGAGTGTTCTTCCGGGAGCTTATTGGGGGAAGGGGTTAGGCCGCACGAATTGGGCAATACAGGTATAAATGAAGGTGGGGTTGTATTGCTAGATGCTGGATTGGAGCAGGAACGTGTTGAAAGTTGCGATAGTTAGTTTCTTCTTGCGGGATTAATTACAGTGACTATAGTGCTGCAACAGGATTGTAAGTGGATCATAAATGGGAGTTGTGCCATCCAAACACAAGCATCCCGTTACATAATAGCTGAAGCGCTTATTCTGCTCCTGTCATAGTCAAGCCCCTCAAAATCAACAACCTTATTTTTTAAACAGGAGAGCCGCTGAGCCACCTTTGATTTATATTGACAATTAAAAATTGCAATTTTATGAACCTATTAGATAGATTGAAAGAGTCCAAGAATAGGTTTGAGGAAAACATGTTGGAACCACTTCTATTTGCCCAACATTTGCCTTAAATTAAATCACTTTATTGACAGAGTGTGCCCCCTCGCTTAGGGATGGAGTTCCGCATAAAAAAAGTCATGTCAGTATTGACGTTGCGGTGCATCCCAAAGTTCCACTGAAATTGCGTGAGCGTATGGCCATAATATGCCAAAATTATAGGGCCAGGGCCAATATCATTATGTCTGGTGATATTCCAGCTTATGGTGGTTCAAATCCATGATTGACTATGACATACTATGACTAGATCTAAGTCAAACCCAATTAAAACATATTAAAACAACTAGAGCCAGCCCTATCACATCCTATCACCAATCTCCAACATATTGTGTTATCCAGCAGCACCCGGCACCCCACCAACGCTGCCAGGTTTGTCTCTTGGGCTTCACTCATTTCGTGGCTGTGGGCGTTACCCACAGCTTCCCCGAGCCGCAGCTAGCCGCGGCAGGTGAAGGCGCTTTGGGGAAAGGTGGGAAGATAGCGGTTTTAATGTGGTTTTTCTGAATGAGTTGAGACATTTATATAATTATATAATTTATGTATATACAGATATATACAGATATCGTTTTTTTTTTGTTTTTTTTTTTCGAGTTTGTTTTTTTGAGTTGATCATGTTATCATCTTGAGATCCCATTTTGGTGTGTGAAGTGTGTCAATTGTCTTGCTGGCCGCTAACCCCATCTTTTTGGGACTGAACCAGCAAGTCTTGTTTCGCCGGCTGCCTGTTTGACACTGCCGTTTTGGCACAGGCGATGGATAGAAAACCTTGTCAAGTATTGAGCCCCACAGGCGAGTCATAGAAGTTGCCCCATCAATGACCCCGGATTAACAAACCCGTGTTTTTTTTTTTGGTTGGTAGCATGTTAATACTATAGTTGCATATAGTTACTATATAGTTACTATAGATTATCAACCATAGATTACATATAGTAAGTTACTATAGATGATCAACCGTAGATACTCCATAGATTATTTCATCACTGCGGGGGAGAACGGGGAGAGCATCCCACCAGTTCTCGCCCTGCAGGTGCGCAAGATGCGCAAGGTCTTTCTTTTAAGCCGGAGGAGCAGCCACCGTTTTTCTGTTGCAAGGCAAACTGTTCCCTCTGGAAATTTAAAATCAATGGATTGGTGTAAGGGAAAATCTACAGGAAACCATGGTTTTTACCATCAAATATAGGGGTTTCCTGTAATTTTTCCCATCATCCAATTCTATGATAAAAGGGTTCATCCACTAAACAAGCATAAACAAGCACAGATCCAGGTTCTGCTTGACCTTTGAATCAGGGGCAGTTAGAATCTGTTCTGCTCACAGATTCTCATTTGGGTCTGAGCATCTCCCACGTTTATTGTTCCATTTGTTCGTCACATCCAGTGTTTTGCTTTATCATCTGGGTCTGCCAAAAATTGGGCACACCCCAAGTGGTCATTTAATTAGAAAAAATATATAAAATGATGTTTCAAACCATTGTATTTGGCAGTGCGTACTGTTCAGACAAACCCATGTAAACCAATATATCAAATGTTATTTTTTGTGTGTCCAATCATTCTATCATTAGGTCATTGAGTCCCGGTTACTATCCGAGGAATATGTTTACTATTTGTCGTTACTTAATGATGTTTCTTATATGTTCGTCATTATTATTTCTTAATATTACTATCACTCTCACTATTGTTATTGTCATGCTGATTACCATTTGCAGCATGCGCGTGCACGCACACACATATATATACGTATACATATCATTGTCACTACTAGCATTTTCGTTACTACATATCATGTTCATGAATCATATACCTAGATACATATATATATATATGTATATATGGCGCGTATTTATATTGATACATGCCATGTTGCAGATGCATATACATTTTACACACACATACATATATACATATATATATATACACATTAAAAAAAACAACAAAAAACAAAAAAACATCCACATTGCGCCCATCCCTGGCGCCCAAGATTTGGCAGGAGACCGAAGCTGCAGCCCGCGCACGGCGAGTGCGAGAGCAGCAGCAGAAGATGAGTCTTGCCGTTGAGATGCGGTGAGAATCCCCTTGTTAACTGTAAGGCGTTGATCCCATGCATTGTAGTTAGATTAGTTCAGTGATAATCATACTAGTAACATCTAGTGAATATTGTATAATATTGTATAATATTGTATATAACTACTGATCATTGATAGTTATCATTGATAATGAACGATCATTAATCCATTGATAACAGTGATCAGTTAACTATCAATAGATTGGTAATGATTGACTATCGATTGGTAATGGTTAATAAGATTCCCATCCAAATATAACTACTATTAGTAGTGATCAGCTTAATCATCAAGATTCATCAAGTATAGCATAGCTTACTTGTTAATTTCATTGTAGTTGATCATCATTAAGAATGGTCACACTTGGATTATCAGATAATTTACATATCACCAGTAAAATCCAGTAGTAAGGATCAGCTAACCATGTACTATAAAGATGATAAAGAATCAACAATGGCTAAGCATTAATTATAATTGATAATTGTTAATATTCATTAATTATTTATGTTGGCCAGTTTTTGATAATCACATCCGAACGAAACGGGACTGTTGAACTCTCTGAGATGGCGATGGCCGACTCCAAAATCCAATGGTTTGGATGGTTTCTGACCATGTTTCTGACGTCCCGTTTCTGAACATGGCAACGTTTCTGTGGTTTGGAAAACTTGGAATTTCATAAAGGCGAATTCGCCTGGATTTCTGCAATTTCGACATCAGCCAGCAATCTTTTTGTCGAGTTCATGAACAAGAATCCATTCCATGCGAATGTCCCCAATTCACTGTGATTGGTGATTTCACTCTTCTGGCTTTGGATGATTGAACCACAACTTATGCCGGATAGGATAGATTTTAACACCCGACCCTTGGCTGGCCATCATGCATAAATAGTTGGCTTGGTCGTTCCATCACTAACATTTTCACCCATAGGTCACCCATAGGAAAACACACATGGAAGAACCATGCGACCTTGCCAATGTGCTCTTAAGATTTTTTTTCCTCAATATATATATATATATAGATAGATAGATATATATATATAGGAATATGGGCACGAAATAACCACCAAAATTGGTCCGACGAACGCCCGGGGCCCTGCAAACCTCCAGGTCCACCAAAAAATGGGACTACACTGGTGGCTACCGCCCTGCAGAGGGTGCCGAAACCAATGAACAGGCAGCCTTTCCACTGGGGCCGTCGGGGCAGATGTGAAAAAACGATAAAAAACGGGTGGAAATGCCGACTCCTCATATGACACCCCAGAAACCATAGATTAATATGATGGCAATTCACATCATTTTGGGACCGGTTGTTTGATGTTTCGGGGGATGGGATTACTATTCGGAACGGTCTGCAGTCTGCAGGGTGATGGCCTCTTCCGGAAAGTGGTCACCACTGTTTGCAGATTCACTTTGCACATTTTGGTGTCGTGAACTTGGAAAGTAATGTCTCCATCGATGATGTCAACACCTCTGTATCCGTAAAAGCTGATATCAACATTTATGCCTGAGTAATTCACATTTGTATAGACACATATGTGCCAGTTTTACATTCAAAACATTCAAAATTGTTGCTTACCATTCCTTCCTCGTGTGGCCAGGCAACCTTGCGCTTGCTGAAAGAATCTGGGATCAACTTGCCTGCCAGATCTAGAGATGCAGGTACCCTTGCTTGCACTTCATTTTGGTACACGAGGTTGCGCTTTGCTCTTTTTGCCTGGTCGCAATAGCGACCGGAGGCAACATATTGCGGTTTTTGGTGTCTTGTGGTGTCATGAGTTTCAAGTGAATATCCCGAGGTATTCTGTATGGTGAAATCATTCAGAATTCATGATATTCATGTTCTGGATGGGTCCATCATAACCATGAAATAGTAAAACACGCCTCCAAACCCCAAAATGAATCCAGCACCAAAACCAGGTTTTCTCGGAGCTTTTCATCCCAGCTGTGCGGCCGAAGTGCCGCGGGAAGCGCGGGGGCCCAAAGGTGGACCCAAAGGCGGAGTCGGTGGACCGACGCTCGGCTGCGGCGCCTGTGTCAACAATGGATTTTTTCTCCAACTGACATCAACTGAACCTGACCCGATTGAAGGAACCGCAGTAAATTTTTACAGAAAATATATTGAAGATAAAGACCATTCCGAACTAGTGGCTCAAGACATGCAGGATGCTAAAGCAAGCAACGAACCAGCCATGAGCAGCATATAATTTACGAAGATCACGTGGTGGATGTTTTCAAATGTTTTCAACATTGCTTGATGATTTTCCCATGCGCTTTAGGATGAATTGACAATTTTGTTGGGAACGGGCCGAAATCACCAGCGGAGATACAGAAAGTGATGTCTGGCAAAGTCTCCTAAATGGGTGCTCCTCGCCTAATGACCGGTAATTCAGAAAAGTAAGGGTCTCGCTTCGGGCGCGGACTCGTGCATCGCTTCGAGCGCGAACTCATGCATCGCCTCGGGCGCATTCCGTATGTAGCACTGTGCAACAACATATATTATGTAAATAAACCCTAAAGGTGCCGTGCCCCTTCTTAGATAAGTGCAACAACATATAAACCCTAGCGGTGTCGTGGCCCTTCTTCAAGTGCAGGATGGTTAAGTTAAGGTGTGTGCCCAAAGTGATGCGTCATCTTGTTCCCAAAGTGAGCGTGCAAAATGTGAGGAGTGAGGCATAGTGAGGCATTTTAGGTTGCTGCCCAAAGTGATGCGGGTAGCCTCGCGAAGATACCCTGGTGTTCACTCAGGAGAAACTTCAAGAAAGATCTTTGCATCGACTTCGAGAAGGGCTACTGTTCCAGAAACACCAGCTGCACCTTCGCGCATGGTGTGGAAGAGCAAAAGGCGGCCAGGGAACTCTATGAAAATCAAAAGAAAGGAGCGGTCACGCGGCCACGGCATGCCATGGCTGACCCAGTATCAGACAATATCGGCACCGGCCACACCTCCAATGAGGCCATTTGCATCTAACAAAGATCCATGTCTATCTTTAGAGCTGTAAAATGGTGCAAACATGTGCAAACAAGAATGGCAGTGGAAGCAAATAATAGAGAACATGTGTAACATGGCCAATAAGTCCAAGTGATGCCTTCCATTGCCATGTAACGAGTTTTTACGGACGCGACTGACGTTTCACCAGCATGCTGGTGAGTCACTTGATGGTTGGCCCATCAGTTGCAGATATTCATTGCTCTTGTGGGATCGTTTATGATGAATTATGAATATAAATGATGAGTTGCGAGGAACCCTACTAGGGAAACCATGTGCCCGGGCATGCCCGGGCCATATTGACGTGAATGGTTCTGAATGGCAATAGTAATGATTCCATATAATACCATTAATATCCATTAATGATATGAGGGACCTGAGAAAATGCGAGAAACATATCACATGCACCGCCAGCAGTTCCAGGACACAGTGGCAAAGAGCTCCCAAAGATCCTTGGCACCGTCGTCTCACTAGATCTCACGACAATCGGGCCGCTGTTATGGGGTGGTACCCCAGACTTTTCATTTGTGCCTCTCTTTTGTAATGTTATTTATTGTTATTTTATTATTGGGGATCTTGTTGAAAAACGGATGCTGATTTCATTTTTATATATAATTAAATTATAATTATATTATATATATATTGTTTGCCTCTAATCATTCCTCAGTGTATACCTGCCTGCATCGGATTGTCGATTAATGTTCATTTTTATTTATGCCACGTGATATTTCTTTTGTCAAGCCCTAAGCTCGAGCTCGTTCCATTCTTGACACTGGCTTTTTCCGTGCCGATTCATGCCGAGAGGGGTGCTGAGGCGATACAAAAGAGACCTGTGCTATTACTTCGAGAGAAACGGCACCTGTGTGAAAGGTGATGACTGTACCTATGCTCATGGCCAGGAAGAGCAGTTTCGCGCTGATGCCAAGGCGGCGGGAGACATGTTCAACAAGACATGTTCAACACCTTGTTGAGCTGAAAGTTTTTGTTTTTTTTTTCGGACAGCATGTGGTAAATCGTATTTTATAAATCACCCCATTCCAGTCAGAGGCATAGGTATTTTATTTATATATTTATAATATTTGTATACTATGTAGATCTATAAATATTCCACGTTCAAAATGCATGGATTCCGCCACTTCATTGATGGTGACGCCAGGAATTGGTGCAGCAGGAGGAGAGTGGTGTGACGGTTCACCAGGGGCCTTCATGGGAGGTTGGTCCTAGTGCGGCCCGGGCTTTGAAGCTTCAACTTTCTGCCCTCAAGTACTTCAACTATAGTTCTATGGTATGGTATGGCATGGTCCATTTAAATCCATTTACTTTTGATAAATGTTCATTAGTTTTCATGTATCAGGTTGCTGTTTTTTTCAAACAGATTTCAGATTTGGGTATGGGTCAATACCTATAGATACATGTTTAGTGGGATGAACATCCATAAATCCCAGCTATTTTGGGGTTCACTAGGTACCAGGGTTTTGACCCACATCCATTTCAACATCAAACTGTTGAATTTTGATCATTTTGATCCAACAAAAACAGTCCACTGCCGAGCCCAGGCCCTTGGCAGCCTTGGCAGGCCGACGCGCAAGGTGATTTGAGACGGCCCAAGGGGGCCAAACGGAGCTCCGTTTGACCATGGAATCGGCGTGTGTTTTACATTGCCAGGTTAAACATGTTAAAGTCCTCCAAGATCTCCAAGTCAAGTAATATGTTTGGAAGATGATTTAACATATTTTAAAATATTTAACTCAAAAGTCATCGTCTCTTCTGAGATTTTTTGGGTTCCATGTGAGCATCCAAACTCTGGCGAAAATCGGTGCATCCATAGCTTTGACGGTTTGACGGCGGCCAATGTGCCACTGGCCAGTGCACCTGGAGTAAGGATGTGCATCCAGTCCTGGACAAGTAAAGCAAGTGTTCAACCAACCATAAGGGGATATATGATTTCTATAATGCCTCATGTTCAATACACCCCATGTATCCTTATATATGGGACCCCCACAATAGCCCACAATAGACTCAATATGATCCAATACTAAGCCAAAGGTTTTGGGAGTGGATCATTGATGTTAGGATGAGATTAATGGCTATATATATAACCAGCACAGCTGTTTGGTGATGCCCACCTTGACCCAACACATCCCAACACCATAATTAGTGTGTGATGATCCCCAATGATATTTGTTGGGTTGAATGATTCACAAGCTTCAGTGACCATGTGATGTTCACCCACTGATAACGTATATATATATATACATATTATTGTTAGATCTTATTACATATATGTATATTATATGGGAAATATATGTGGGCTCTTCAGCACTTGCCAGCTGGGATGCGCACATCCAAGTATGTTGGAGTCTTTTTTTTTCCAAGGGGCCCTGGATCCCATTCCTGCGGGCCCTTCCATGTAAAGTGGGACAGGGGCTGAAAGAAAGGAAAGGCTTAAGTTGCCGGGCAAAAAAGGGTTAGCAACCCATTCAAACCCATGAGAAACTTTAATACTGGTTGGCGATTTCAAGTATCATTAATATTGCTTTCAACCCTCCCTAAACCGATGCTCTGATTTTTTTTGGGGTGGAGCGGCAGTGAAACCACCAACCTGAAAATCGTTGGGGCGGAAAGGGTGAGAACCTTCCATGATTAGCAACCTGACAGTTGGAGCTAATCAGCTAACCCCAGAGCCCATCATAGCGATGTACAGAGCATTTTTGCTTTGCGAAGCGATTCAAAAAGCTGATCTCCACTGAGCCTGTCCAGAGAGAAGGGATTGGCCCCTATTTTAAGATTTCCTACTATATATTTTATATTATATTTATTATATTTGAAACAATCCCAAATATCATAGTTATGATTATGACATGTTATTTGTATAGTTTCATATGTTGTATTTCCGTACTTTTCCCAGTTTGTGTGGGGAAGTTCGCTTTTTTGCACGTGGAGGAAATCGAAGCCGTGGTCCTTCTCGGGGACCAGTAAAAAATTGTTTTAGGGGTCCCCCCTTCTTGGGAAGCATATGAATATTTTAGAGCATGTTGGTTCACCATTGTTTGTAGCCAGTTTCACCCTTAAATTCTGAAAAAAAACTCTCATGCAAACATTATTGGTATATTCAGTCTGAACCAAAGTGGCGATTTATCATATCCCCAGTCGATATTCGGTAAAAATTGAAACACAATGCATATTTGGTCACAATCCCGCTGGGTCAATTGCTGATCCACTCAATGCTAGTAGAACAGCTAATTTCTGTTCATCACATCCCCATCATGATACGTGGATTCTGGTAAACTTTCCAACCCAGTGGGACAGCGGTTGATTAAATATCTTGTCTTCCCAATTTTGGTAGTATGAAGTATGAATGATCTTAAATGATCTTAAATGCATCATTATCATTAGTGTCATTAGTGTCCCCAATTCGGGTATCGTGAAGTCATCTGAAGACCGTTTTTTGTTTTCAGATCCCCAGTGTTGATAATACCGCAATACCAATCAGCTGAAGTCTCTTTTTCCAGGCATTGAAAAGCCCACGTTTATTGCAGGAATTGTAAAATCCTTCTCCGGGTTTTTTTGGCATGAATATATCCAAAAATTAAATAATATGGTATATATATAGTATACTCTAGGTTATCTTCCAGTTTTTATGCATTCTGGTGCTAATGCTGGGGAACACAGCCTCTTCAATCACAAATTCTGCATTCAGGTCCCTAGTTGCGCTTTATACCTCAAATCGTTTGCTTGCATTTTGTCAACCAGTTTTGGTAGCATTTGTTATATATAAATCGGTTTCGAACTTCAAACCCAATTCCAATGTTCTGGTGTTGTAACAACATTATCATTTGCAAATAAATCTTATATACCTCATTCAAAGATATGCATCACAGTAACATTGTAGTTATTATTGTTGCAATTTGCAATGATATTTCTCCAAAATTAGGAAATCCCAAGCAATTGGGTGATTGGAAACAATCCTTGGGTTTACCACAGTTTAATCATCCAATTCTTCCCCTAAGGGGTGATTTGATCAACTTGGCAATGGAAAATCACCTTATAGAGGATAAACATGCCTAGCTGGGAAATCCCCAAACCACAAATGGAGGTTTAGTTCGCTGGGAAAATCATCGAACTAAATGGTGGCTTTTGCAGCCATGTTTGATGACACCGGAGGATGCTTTCTGATTCTAAAAAAACTTGAGATTTCTTCAGGGTTTCTATTGGATCCCCAGGTCACAATGGGTTTCAATATGTTTCAATATGAAGTTATGGTCATCTATGATTTGGATGGGGCTACCCCCACTTAGGGGAAATCTCGGTGAAGGCGCCAGAGCCGCCGGACCTGGGCCGTGTACCCAGCGGCGCGCTGGGCAATTCGCGACGCTGTAACACAGCCCGGGGGGCTCAGATGGAGAGGTTGGCAGAGGGGAGAACTTAGGATTTAAGTTGATTTAAGACTGCAAGAATTGGACAACAATGATGAGCATTGGTGGAAACTGGGGTTGGTCACTGAAAAAAAGGACACTTCGAGGTCTTTAGGATTATGGCTTAGGATGATGGGTGTCTCTAGGTGTTTTACAGGTAACGAGGATCAACAAGCAAAATGCCGAATAAGGCTGGAAGAATTGGAGAGAGATTGATTAACATTAAATTTATCCCACCAAACATGGTGGAAAACTGAGGATTTCAGGCTGCAAAATGGGCATTGGAAATTAGCAAACACGGAACATGGAGGAGGATTGGGAATTTAAGCCAGCAAGCATAGCAGATGAGCCTCTGAGAGCCTCCCATGCCACATGCGAAACCAACGGGCCAACCACTGGCTTCAAAGCAACGAAAGCTTCAACACAGCCAGGACACTCCAAAACATCACAGGTCCAACTTCCAGTGGCCTGAACAACATCAAACCTTTCCTGATCTTTCCTGTAAACCGCGTTTGATTGGATTTAACCATTACACATATGGGATTTTATATGATTTTATCATTAAATATAAAATATACGGGATTTAACCTTAAAAAATAGGTATTTTCAACCTGCCCCCAAAAAAAACACGTCCGGTTGCGCAATGAAGTCCGACTCCCAAGGATGCTGCGCACTCCCTGGACCACATACTGGCGAGACAGGTGCACTGTGGCCCCCTAGGAGCTGGCCATACTGGGCCAGCTGTGCTGGCAATAGTGTGTATAGCAACTCCCAAAAAGATGCTCCAAAATGATCACAGAATGTCTCCAGGATTTGAATTAGATGATGTTTCTGCCACAACTGTCCAGGTCTCCAACTATAATAGGATCATTTATAGATGCCACATTCTGAGGATTTTTGCACACCTGAGGGGCGGGGGGAAAATGGTTTGTCATATTTTAAGGAATGCTCTAGTAGTCATGGGGGGGATATTCCATCAACAACTAGAGCAACTAGGGCGATGGAGAGAGAGGACTAGGGGGATACCACAAACTGAGGATTTTTGCTGAAAAGCTGGAGCATAGAAGTGGGATCTCAGGGATGAAGATTTTGGGACGCCAAGACGGGTTCTTAGCCATGTATTCAATGTAATCAATGGCTGGGTCCACTGATCTTCATATCCCATGGTTTTTTTTTGGCTGCATGGATCACAGGCGTTTGGCTCTGGGCCAGCCGCCACCCTTTTTTTTTCTGATGGGGGAACCATCCCCAGATGAAGCGGAGCCAATGCGCCCAGTGGACGCGCTCCTACAGCCACCCTCGACCTCCGAAGGGACGGCTCGTTGGTGGCACTGGGGCGCCAAAAGCTTTGTCTCTTTGGGGGTCACTTGGCATGGCCATTTCGTGGTTGAAACTCGTGAGGTGGCACAATATGCCATAAATATGCCTTGGATGTCCTTCAGTCAATTTTCTTGGCTGAATCCTATAGTACATTCATTTGCCAGTTTGTCAGTCATAAGTGGGGCTGTGTAGTACCTCCATGGGTTACATAGCAGTGCTTGTTGTGTTTCCTGAGACTTCCAAAGTTTGCTTTCAGCTGCCATTCATATCATCAATCAATGCACGTATATCCAGATATATCCGGATAGATCATGTGCTAGATGTTTCTTGAATAAGCCCACCCACCAATGAATAGATCCAATATGATCCGAGACTAAATCATGCATGGTTTCTTAGGGGTTCATTTAATATCGTGGAAAACGAATAACTTTTCCCCACTGGCACTTGGCAAAAACAAGATCCCAATTCTCCTGGGTACCTTGGTTTTCCTCACAGCTAAACACCTCCAGAAACCCGAAGTTAACAAACTCGCACCAATGGGGGTTGAAAGCATGGTGATAACCGCAAGTGTAAGACCAAAGGAACATGATCAGATCACCAGTTCAGTTCCAGAAAAGTCATGAAAATTCGATGTTTTCAAAATTTCGAATGCACTTCACAGACATGATTCATTTCAAGGTCTCCCATGGTGATTTTGTTTGTCCTTTCCCATCCTTTCCCCAGCCCCAGGTCGTGGCTCTGACTGCTGCAGCTGCCCTCTCCGCGTCCTCCACGTCCTCCGCGCCGAGCTCTGCGGACAGCAGCAACACCTTGCGACTGTTGGCGACGACGCACGGCTGAGAGCGACGCTGGTGAAGTCATGTCGTGCTTAGCCAGGTTTAACGACCCCAAAAAGGATCCCATTATTCTAATTGCGAATGACTTTGGAATCCAGATGGAAGACAGAATCATGCAAAATCATGGCAAAATCTCTTTTCTCGCTTGGGGTGTGCTGCAAAAAAGAATCCCAGAGATCACCTGAGTATGACGAAGAGTGGTTCAATTTGATCGCTTCCGTATTTCAGCTTTGGAGTTTCCGTTGTTTATGAACAGGTGCTGGGTTGTTTTCAGGGTCATTGCCAGGACACTCAGTTGTCCCAGCGTGGACTGTGGCCAGTTTGCCCGGTCCAGACACAGAGGCCCGCGGTGTCAGGTGAACTGTTTGGATGCATCAACACCCCATGAAAGCCCAGAAAAAAACTGACAAGTTGATGACTGCCACACATGCCACACCGATTCCATCCCATTCAAATCTCAAGTTTCAGTCGAACATAGTGTTCTTGATGGACATTGGATCGCTTTAGAATCTTTTGAACCATTGAATTGGCAGGAAAATTCATCGAAACTTGATGTGTTTCAGCAGCTTTTCCGGTCCAACTATCCCTCAAATATCATGGATACTATCATGGAATCTATGAAATTATGAATATTCTTGCAACATACTGTATAGGAATTCAGGATCTTTCACCTTGGATGCGGTCGGGCCTGCTTGTCAGGTCATTGCAAAGGACCGGAGACTTCGAAACATTGTCAAAAGATGCTCGGTGTTCAATGGGCTCACCACTTGTAGATCATTTTCCTTGGGGAAACCGGGGCTTTTCCCATGCTTTTCCACATGAATCGATAGAGTTTGATGGAGAAACAAAACCACCGGAGCTGTTAGGCAGCTGGGTGGTGACCAAGACTTGGCTGCGGTCCCTGGAACATCAAGGCCTTTGGGCCCCACGACTGATGATTCTGACATATTCTGAATTAGCCTGACTATTGCATACATTGCTATGTGTTACCATTCCCACCCCCCCGGGCGAACCCCAGTGGTGCAATAGGCTTTGATCCATACCGAAAAAACCCACATTGCTGGAATGATTTTGGGTCAGATCTGAAGCTTGGCCATCCTTGATGTCCAATTCGAGGGCGTTCCTTGCAAATATATTGGGGATTTATATAAATCGGGATTTAATGGATGGCTTCAGATTCGCACCCAAAGATGGACGATGAGTCATGATGAGTCAACTGCAACATATTTTCGCAACAGTTCTTCTGGTCCAGACCGGGTCCCCCAATGGAATTACCTTCTTCAAAGGGCCGCTGCCGTGGCCAGTTTCCCAGGAAATGCTGCAAGCGCATCAACTGCGATCACATCGTGGGTTTCAGCTGTGGCTCCAATATAGGGCCCAGCTTCATGGCAAGGCGGGACTAAGCTCCGAACATGGCCAGGGAAAATTTGGCACATCCACTTGGAAAATGGAAAAATATCTGGGTAAATTATAACGACCTCACTGCGACCGAAGCCTGGAATAATGGTTAGTAAGGGGACTTATCCAAATATGGTCTTATTTCAGGTTAGTGAATTATTATAATTTGCCCAGAATATGGAACATGTTCAGTTTTTCAGCCCGGGGACCTGAGATTCCCAGGATGGTGCCACATGGCTTAGAAGGGCTTCATCGGCATAGGAAGCACTGCAAGGGTGAAGCTGCTTGGATGTCTTAAAGCAACTCCGCAAAAAAAGCCACCATTGTGCTTGTCCAGCATAGTTCGTCAACAACCTTGGAAGGTCCATGATTATCATTGGACATGAGCCAACCTGAGGGTCCCTTCTTGGTCAATCTTGGTCCTGTATGTTTTTGACATGTTTTGACAGTTACAGTAGGGGGCAATCTGGTCCATTCAAGCAACTATTCAGGTCCCTTCTATCAGGGCCATAGATTGGGATGATGAAGTGATATTTTCCAAAGCATAGAGACCTTACATAGACCTTACACATAGTATATATATATATATAGAAGTACCTCCAATTCAGGTGGCATATACAGCTCCCTTGAAAACCACCTGATTTTCTATGCCCAGGACGATTGCAAAGATCGCTGCTGTCAAGGGACGTGTGCAGAAACGACCTGTTCAGCGCCATATTTGTTCAAAAGGCCCTTTCCACCAAAGTTGTGCACCCTGTCCACCTGCCAGTACCCAAGCTGCAACACATGTTGACATCGGGATGGAAGCAACTATTGAAGGCTTATTGAGATATGTTATTGTGTTTTCTTGCGAAAGTCCGGGTTGCTATGCATAGGCTATGCATAGAGTTATCTAACATATCCAACATATTGTAACATGATCTAACTAACATATTCCAACATGATCTAACATATATCTAACATATGGTTTGCGTTTTTTCTCCAACATTGAGAGGCAGAGCATGGCAGAGCCCTTGGTGTCCTGTGTTCCATCGACAGGTCGCAGTGCTGCTACGACGAAAGCTACTGCGGCAACGGGCTCAACGCTTGGTCATCGGCGTGCAAGGCCGGCAAGAGCAAGCTGGAGCGCCATGGCGAGTTCAAGGCGGTGCTTAAATTGGCTTGGGCGCCTCTGGTAATTTGTTACATAGCTATGGAAAATGGCAATTGATTGTCTATAGATGTCTATAGTTGATTTACCTATGAAAAATGGTGATTTTCCATTATGTGAAATTACCACAGGGTAAATATTAACTAAGGCACCCATGGATGTGGTGACCCAAAAGTCTCAAAACGTATGAAACCTACGACGTTGAGCCTGCGAAGTGTAGTGGGTATGGTTGAAAATTTGGGTATCGGCATCGGTATCACGGGCCAACCATTTTGTTGTTGTTTATGATATTCATGCATAAATGGCTTGGTCAGAACTTGTCATAGGATATCAGAGGATACAACCTCCCCATGCTTTTCTCATGACTTTCCCATATACTTTCGCTAGTCATTCTACTGGGAAAATCCCTCAGCGACAGAGATAGCAGCATCGCCAGCCGAGGTGGTGTGAAGGTGAGTTGATGGTCTCACGATCTTCGGTCACACAGTCTGAGTGGACACCTGGCAGCGAAATCCACCAGGATGTCTCGGTGTTGTGGAAGAATCCATGGGAAAAAGAACAGGGAAACACCATGAAACACCTCGTTTCGGTGACAATTGGTAGTGGAATCATCCATGTCAAAAGGTTTCTGAGACTGACTGAATGATTTTGAATGATTTTGAATGGACATTAGATGATCGTAAAATACAGGTCACTCATTCATTAGACTTTGATATGGTTCAATCAAACCATATCATCAGACCTTTGCCCAGCGTTGGACTTCAGATGATTATGACATTATAAACGCCGTGATATTTAGGGGGCATATGAGCCACAAACATATAAGAATGGATTATCAATATGAGACACACACACACACACTTTGTCATCGTTTTTCACATACCTGGCACTTGCCAAACCGCTCACTAGTTGCATTCTTGTGTTGTTGCATGTAGCAATCAGTTCAATCTTCAACCGAACTCTTCCTACATGTTTAGTAGATTCACTCTGAATTATTATTATCCCCATGTTTTTGTGTTTTATATCCCATCTTTGTTTGGCGTATGGCGTATGGGTATGACAAAAGTGATTCACCACCATTTTGGGAATGGTTATAAACATATAATAGACTGAAGTGACCACCTTTTGTTTGTCCATTGGCAACCTTGTTTGGGTTTCTGTAGCAACAGTATTTCTCTTCTGCCCTTGTCAGGGCCCAACTTCATCAAACTATTTTTTCAGGGTGCCCCCAAAAGGTAAGCCCCGGACACCAACTGAGGGTTTCCATTTTCATGGGGTGACCCGGTGACCCCCAAATCATCGATGCCCATGGGTTTTCTCATCCATTTTCTCAGCTGGGATCCCAGATGATCCCAGGAATCACCTGGTCTACGAGAAGGTGGATGCAGGTGCACTGCCTCCTGGATGTGAGGAGGACTCCATTGTGGATTGCAGGCGCCAGTGGTGAGCACGAGGGAACTAAGGAGCAATGGCTATCCATGTTCCCTATTCAAATGTCTAAATGGGGAGCCAAGGAGCTACACATGCTAGTGGAGACGTCATCGATTATTTTCGGCTTAAGATGACATATGAGACATTACCCAGAAGAATCAATTGTGAAATGCATGGAGATCTAGCATTCACTGGGTTGACCCAAGAGAACATCGTCAGGAAAAGCGTGAAACGCATGCAACAGCTGAGAAGACTTTTTGGACTTGTTGGTATAACATGGCAGATGCATGCAAATGCCGTGCGGGCCACATTGCCCAGAAGTTTCTAGCCGAGGTATCATCGTAATTTAGTTGTTAGGCTTATGCACCTTGGTTCATGGTGAAACCGAACCAACGTCATACGCACTCCGTGTGTTGCTTCAGCCAGACCTTGTTGCCAGGGTGAATCTACACTATTCGCTCGTGTCTTGGCCGGGATAGGGACGATGATCTGCTACAGACTTGCCCCCATTCTAAAAGTAATCCCAATCACGAGATATCATCAGCATGTGCTTCTGTATATCAGTAGGTCCTGTGCCTATATACCAATACCATTGTATACCTATAGCATATAATAATATATATATATATGATATGTAATATGTACATACTATTATATACTAATGCACACACACACATATGCATGTGTATATTATATAATATATATATATATATTTTTATCTCTGTGTGTATTTTCATAGTCTTCCAATATCGGTGAGGTCCCTTAATGATCCACCACAAAGGGCATCCCCCTTTTTCGGCCGCTGAGGTCAGCGTCTTCACGTTCCACAGATCCGACGAGGGCGTCTCGGTGAACACCGTGGCGGTGGTGCCGGGAGCCACCGAAGCCTTGAGCGGAGGAGATGATCAGCAAGCCACCTGGCATGGGGAGTTCACCAATGGAAATATCTGGGTAAATCATAACGACCTCACTGTTCTCCCTCACTGGAATAATGGTTAGTTTTTGGGGACTTATCCAAATATGGTCTTATTTCAGGTTAGTGAATTATTATAATTTGCCCAGATATCATGGAGAATGGGGTATGATTTAAGGATATTAGACATGGCATGAATATATATATATAGAATTTTATGCAGAATCAATCATATGATGTTATGGTGAGTCCAGAATGGGGAAGATGATAAACCTGGCTGGAGTTTGGCGTAGCCTCTTTTTAGACAAAGCTTGGTCCATGTTGATCGGGCAAAGTTAGATCATTGTGACATAGAGCGTCGCCTGGCACACTCTCGGGCCGGTCTTTGGGGTGCAGTAGAAGTCCAGGTCTTCAAATGGAGAATCGTCCAGGGCAATGTGGGCATCCTGAGAAACTATTCATCTCACACTGCCGCCATCAAACAGGTGCCTTGGGCCTTGGATTAAAGCTGCACCTTTCGGACTGATTGGGAGCCCTCTGGGAATGGGCAGGTCGCCTGTGAACCGGCCCTACTTGGGCAAGGAGAAAACCCAGTAGCCCAGTATGCTTCCATCAGGTTGCAGGATTCCGGCATGGTAAAACCTTGACTGGTACAGTAACCCCAGCAGACGTTTCCCCAACTATATAACTATGCTGAGCTTATCTGAGCTTGGTAGTCCGAGTGGATTTTAAGATATTTTAAGCAATGTTAAAGGACTTCCAGTGGCATACTCGAAGATCTTCCCTGATATTTGCTTGAGTTTGTTTGAGTTGCACCAGTCCTACTACCTTCATCTTCCTTCCCTTGGTGGAAGCGCGATGCCTCATCAATGTGCCAATCCGATCCCCATCAATTTCCGCTGAATGATCTGGATGTGATCGTTTGCCCCCTGATTTAGGGGGACCCTTTTGTATTCATCATTTTATATCATTTCATTGGGCAGGCCGGGCAGGTAAAACCCATGCCGTATTCATCATTTTATATCATTTTATTCATCATTTTATATCATTTCATTGGGCAGGTAAAACCCATGCCATGATTTCCAGTAGATGCTTCTTGATGTTTCTTGATTTCGCCCTTGAATCCATTGACATGAAGCGAGGTCTACCCTTTTGCCGATGCCACCTTCTTCTGTGCCGCCACTGCAAAGGAGGCGATGGTATGGCTGGTGCAGGCCGGAGTCGCGATATGCTTTAAACATGTTTAAACCACTGGGTTGATGAACACTATGAACATCCAGAATTAGTATGGACTATAGTTAATATGATTTAATTATGATGTCATTTCTTGAGATGTTCATCTGGAAGTTCGAACCCCATTTGGTTTGTTGTTTATTGTTTCATTATTTGTTGTGGGGGTAGGTTATCAACATGTGACATCAAAGTCGCTGGACTTGAAGATCTGTCACCAGGCTGGGCATGACCACAAGGATTCCATTGACACCCGGCTTAAAGTGATGCCGGAGCCGCCGGGCTCCATCCATCCAGCAGTGGACAGGAAGTTGCTGACGATATCACCTGTCAAAGAGCGGCTGTTTTTGAGATGTTTCTCTACTTTTTGCTATGGCTTGTCGAAAAAAGAACACCCTTGTAGCATCTTGTAGCCCTTAATTTGTCTAAGCTAGTTATAGCTAGTTATTTGGTTGATTACAAGGTCTCAATTTCGATCAACTTGTCATATCATGAAAGCGTGCCCCAATGGTTGATTCGGGCCTCTTAGCCTTTGGCGGAATGAATGTGACATGGAATCTCTAAACGTTGTTTGCAAACAACAAGATGCCCAAAAATCACCAAAAAACCAGAACTTTGTATGATGTTGTATCAGCTCCCCCTGTTTTTGGACAGAAAATCGGGTTTTTCCCCATTTTTGGGGGCAAACCAACCATCATCATCCCCTGCCACCATCCTGCCACATTTTGCCGCTGAGGAGATGGAGTTTACCCCTGAAGATCCACGGAAAGGTGCTGGTCCTGTAGGTGTCACGGGCTGCATTGGGCTGAATACCTACGAGACGGCAGTGGTGGGATTGACCAACAGATGCTTGGACGGACGTGGAATTCCATGGAATTCCTGGTGGTGGTTCATGTAATTACCTAGTAATGAATGAAAGTTGTTTTTTCTGGGATTATGTGAGTCTGACTCAAAGTTGTGGAAGTAGGGCTTGTGGCCGATATGGACTTGGGGCTATAATTACTTCATTTCTGAAGCTGTGGAATAATGGATTTGAACTAATCTGAAGAATCTGTTGGGAATAGCAGAAGGAAAGAGAACCTAGAATTCGAAGCCCAGGTTTGAGGTTGAAAATGGGCCCAGAAACACACATATCATGATATCATGCAACCAACCATGACCACATGCAGGTGGTAACTTCAAAGGTCCCCCCCGCCCTTAAAAAAACACGAAAGTAGGGAGAGCCCCCTTTGAGTGCCATGTATTTCTATCAACACTGTCAGACATCATCAGCCACGTGCCATGACCATTGCCATACCCATCCTATTCCTATTGCTGCCAAGGTTATGCAGCATTGTGGGAGTGGAAAGTAAGCCACTTCCTCAGTATCCCAGTGGACCCAAAGTTGGAATTCCGCTGGGAGATCGAAAAAGATTTTGGATACTACAAGCAACTGGGCTGACAGCACTGGTCCGTCACTGGTCCATCTTCCGAAGATTGCATTGCTGTAGCTGAAACATCCAGGGACATGCCTTGTATTTTTTCTCCAATGTATATATGTATATATTTATAATCATTTTTATAAGTCATATACATGTACAGTATTTAAACTATATATATATATAACTTATATATAACATATATATATATATGTGTGTGTGATTGCGTGTGTGTTTTTTCCAGTTGAAAAACCGGTGGCACTTTTCGCTTAGCCGTTTTAGCCAAGGCATTGGCCCGCCTGGGACACTGGCCACGGCATCAAAAAGGCCTTGCTCTCCTGGTGGGAACATCGCACCTCGGCGCAGCGCGGCTGGGGATATCGGATATCTGTCGTGTTAGTTCGAAAACAGCCGGCACCACAGAGCCCTCCTCTAATTGAACTTTACCAAATATCACCATATCTGATCTCCTCTTCCCTCATCACCGCCCTCTTCACGATCCAACTTGGGCTTGAGGCTACCATTTGTGGAGGGGTTATGCAGAACGACGACTCACAGACACTGAGACCGAGCCATCTCAAGGCCAAAACGTCGATATTCGGCACGGTAAGCGGGGAAATTGCTCAGTTTTCGACATAAAACTGATCTCCATGACTCTCCAAATGTTACCCTCTGGTAAACTAACATAGCTATGGAAAATCACTGGTTTTAATGGGTAAATCCACTATAAATGGCCATTTTCAATAGCTATTTTAAATTACCAGAGGGTAATCCAAATGATCAAGTTGAGTGGGGATCACGTCGCATGACTCTGCCTGATCTGCAGCATTGAAAGTCGGTGCCCTTTTGCTGCGTGAAGTGGTCAGTGGAGATGCCACATGAAGGCTTCACAATAGTTTCTTCCTTGGTCTTGGAATCACTCATCAATTCTCACCAGAGCTTAGCCGAACAACCATAGATATCATAGATCACGAATCACGGACACAATAATTGCTCCACATATTTCCACATCCGAGAGATGCCATCGTGTCAGGGGTTGTGCCGCCTGAAGCTGCTCCAGCTCCTCCAAATCCTCCTCCAAATCGCGATCTGAAACACAAGTGGTTGGACGAGGTACACATACGCGCCAAAGTGAGTTCCTTGCTCCCATTTGCGCGTGGAACAAGATGGAACAAGATCCATGGAAATTTTAAATAGGTGTTTCGGAACAAGTAAAGATAAGTAAAGATAGGTAAAGATAGGTAAAGATAAGTAAAGATAAGTAAAGATAAGTAAAGTATATTGGGAACGAATAACATCGTGAATTAAAGTAGGCAGTTCTTTTCAGTTCTGCTTATTATTTTCTGACAGAACGTAACAATCATCCCGTTGAGGGTGATGAATTTCACAACTTGGGACAGTCCTCCAAGCTGTCCCTGCTGCTTACTGACATCACTGATCACTGACATCTCACATTTACTGGGAAGATTATGGAAGATCATCCAAAAGTTTTTTTGAGGAATCTCCTTTGTGTGTGCATTTGCTTCATTTGGTCCCACATTTTATGTGGAGACCTTGGGTTTTTTGGGCATGGCGATGCCCATTAGGATGTGTATTATGAGGTCGGAGAGATTGGTGCATGAGATACATAAACTGCAAGTATGGATGCTAACCACCTCTGAGTGCAACAATTCGGGGGCACATCACGGGTCCAACGGTCCAACAACTTCTGTTCGTCAATTCAAGTTGCTTATCAGTTGATAATTGTTGAATCTTGAGTTTATTAATTTAAATTTAATATTATTAATTGACTTCATCATATTTCATCCATATTGTTTGGATACTTTACTAACATGTAAGAAAAAAAGGTCATGTTTTGCCACCGTCAGCAGCCAAGAAAAATCCTCCCTGTGGTACCTGCATAAGAAGCTACGGCGCTCCAGTAAAGCTGCCCCATGGGACAACACCTTCACGATGCTCAGCGCTGCGTTTGATCTGGAGGGGGTACCGTTGTAATATAAAGGATTAAAGGGGTATCATATTATCATCATTTACCCTTTTGTAAACTAACATAGCTATTGAAAATGGCCATAGAAATAGTGGATTTTCCCATGAAAAATGGTGATTTTCCATAGCTATGTTAAATTACCAGAGGGTATCATAAAGTCATAAAGTATCCCTATTAGGGGAGCCGCCCATATTAATAGACTGGTGGTTTATTCATCCAGGGTTAAGACTACATCTACTTGTGGTTAAGAGTGGTCATTCATGTTTTGGTACAGAATCTATCCATTTGTTCCACTCTCTCTCTCTCTCTTTCTCTTCATGTGTAAAGTGTTTTAAGCTGCTGGTATACTGAAATAAGCATGTAACAATGTTTTCTTCTACATGTGCACATACATGCATGCATGCATCATGCATGCGGCAAGATATGTGCATCCATGCATGCATGCATGCATGCATGCATGGAATCATACACGCACACACACACACATACATACATATATATATATATACATACACGTATATATACATATTATATATATATATTAATATATACGCATATTTGTGTATATAAATATATAATATGCATATACTATATATACCTCCATCTTGACACAATGATATGGTCGACCTGATAGGTGGCCTGCATATTGACATGTGGTGAGTTTCGACAAGCAACATTGAAAGTCTGGGCCGGTGTGGATGGGGTTCTCTGAGGAAGCACTAAAATGAGTTCATTTTCTGACTGTGAAGTGAAGATTTGTTTGCACATGTATGTATGTTGGTCTTTGAAGTGCTGTTTGCCTATCACAGTCATAAGATTGGGAACAACCAAAGACATGACTTGAGACAACGTGAATGCTCCCGGCACATGTCAGATATTCTGAAGCAGATTTCCCACATCAATATGCACATTGTTTGCCAATGTTTGCCACCAGTCCTCATCAGATTTGTTTGGGACACATGCAAGGAACCCCAGATAACCCCATACTTGGATGCCATCAACAAATACCATGAAAAAGACATAAGCAACTTTAAGCAACATGTTTTTCCCCTGCAAGCTCACTTACTTTGCCGACTTAGTTTTTCCTGCAAACAACCAACCATAACTCAGTTCTGTGTCAGCTTAGGAACTTGAATTGGGGTGATGTCCCCAACTTCTTCTACAAACCCGATGGCTGGGGAGCCGTGACAGCTCTGGTGGAGATCCCTTCGGATACCCTTTTCGTGCTGGGCTACGAGGATGGAAGCATCCGCAGCCTGGAAACGTATGGAACCGTTGAGACGGGATAGGCCTATGCTTGACTAATGGTTAATGAAACATATAGCATGTATTTCCAAGAAAAGTGGGCATATGATGTAATATGATACAATATGGTATGATATGATGCAATGATATATGTATGTATATATATATATATATCATTATCTAACCTAATCTGGATCAATTGTTAGGATTCTCTGAAATGTATGCGGTAGATACCTGACACAGGAGAGAGAGAGAGAGAGAGATACCTGACACAACTGGGTGGCATCACCGCCAGTATAACCATCAACCAACAACCAGAATTTCTGGATGATATCCCAATGCTGTGCTAATTATTGTTCCATGTTGAAACCCCATTTATTGGAAGACGAAATCCCCATTGAATCGCTAAATTAGTCACTTTGTATCCATATCCCTATGGATATGAATATCCCCGTCAAAGCAACACACACACACACCTACAATCACCTACACACACTACAGGTGGATGTGGAAATCGGTTCTGTTTGCAATTGATTGGTTCAGTTCCATGCGGGAAAGCAATTGGGGTAAGTCGGTACTTTTTGCGTTTAGCTTGGGTTTTGCATGACAGCTTGAAAGTGGCACGTTTAAATCTTGCAGCAACTTCCATGGGTATACCGGTATACCAATGGAAACTATTGTATATAGATGCTGTCCTGACAGCCATTTCTGCTCAGTGTGCGTTCAGTTTCTGCCATGCAGACGCCGCAGAAGCGCAAAGGCTGTGTGCCACATGATCATACCCCTGAGAAGGTGGGCTGGAAATTCGATAGTCTAGGTGCCCAAGCTAGTCTAGGTGCCCAAGCTAGCTCCAGCAACCCCAGGTCCAACGACCCCAGCTGCTCCTACAGCATGCCTTGCTGAGCCATCAGACGATGAGTGTGATTTACAAGATCCTGCTGACTGCGTGCGGTACATTTTGTCCAGATTTCCCCTTTCGGAAAGAGAAGGTGCAAAGCCAGCAGCATCTTACTTTGTGAATGAGCTGAAATCGAAAGCAACAAAAAAGGATTCCCTTTTTCAGCTTATGCAGATGAAAATTGTGAAGTCTGGCGTGCTCAAGACCCACCAGTCACGACAGAAGTGGCTATCCGCTGAGAAATACAATCGTGCTTTGCGATATGTGAAGAAGTGAAAAGGATCCTGCTGCTGTCTCTGGGAAGCGTGGTGCAGATTTAGATATCCAGTAGCTGCGATTCCATGCAGGAAAAACCTATGAAGACATAGAATTAGCAGAATTATTCCATTAGCGTTCCATGCAGGAAAAGCCTCTGAAGATACAGAATTAGCAGAAATATTCCATTAGCGTTCCAATAGGAACTAACATCTCCAGTATCATTTTGATGTAGATATTTGGCCCCAGCGTTGAAGCGTTACCAATAGGATTTCTGATCCAGGTCCCGCCTTAACTGACTTCGACGTAACCGGTGCGTTCCATGCAGTTGTACCAACCCCGCGGTGTTTAGTACTGACTTCCACGGGTGCCTGTAGAGCAGAAAATGACCACTGAAGTGATCAGTTGGGAGTTGAATCCCATCATGCATATCCAAACCAAACCATCGCACCTATGTAGACCCCTGAAGAAAAGTAAAGCTTGTCAAGAATGCCGTTCATCGTGACATAGTAGACCAAACCGAAGTCCAAATAATTCAAAACATGCAATAAAATGAAATAACCAGATTGCGGAAACCATGCAGCATGAAACTCATGAAAAGGATGGGAGACTCATGCGGTGATTGTGAAAGTATCGGTATAGGGGTTCTTGGCTTAGCCGTGCCATGTCGATTGAAAAAAAACAGTTCTGCAGGTACGTCGGGATGATCAGTCCCGATATCACAATCTCAAACCACCGTCTTCGTTGGGCAGTGGATGGAAAGAGATTCACTGGCCCCTTACACAACACACACACATCTTCAAAAAAAAACATATGATGTCCTCACTAATTATTGGGGTAAATACCCCATTTTCAGATAGACATCCATGAATATCCCCATGATGATTCCTATTATATATACCAGAGGGTAAACTAACCTCGATGTGGCTTTTCCCACCATTTATAGATCATTTTCCCCGGGAAACCATGGGCTTTTCCACATCTTTTGGGTTAGCAAATCCCCTAAGATTTGCTCATCATCCCATCCTCCGAGGCACTTGGCGCACCTACAACGGTTTCATCGTTTCGGTGATTCCCAAGGCCCACGCTGGCGGCGTGAACGCGCTGCTGGCCGCGCCCGCGGGCGGCTCCTTTTACTCCGGGGGCCACGATGGATTCATCAAAATATGGCGCGCCATCAATGGCCATCCGGTGGGCACCTGGGACAATGGAGGAAAATGGATGAACATGGTTTATAGATGTTTATAGATGATTTACTCTTTGAAAATGGTGATTTTCAAATAGAATGTTATTAAATTACCATAGCTAGTGTTTCTTTATGTGGTGTGTGGTGTGTTAATTATTATTGTTTCCTCTCTGGAGCTGTAACACCGATGGGGATGAAATGTACTCGGACAGGATTTTGTTTGTATTTTGGTTGGGAGCAGATGATGCATGATGGTGGGCAATCATGATATGCCCAACATCTAGTTGTTTGATTCCGAAAAACGCGTGGGTATATGTTGGATGGATATTGGGTCCCAAGTCACGAGCATCCCATGGATTTGTTTTGCATTTGCTAAGATTTCTGGATAGGAACGAATCGATAGCAGATGATAACGGGATAGATAGGATATGCATATCTTTTCATGTCATTGGTTTTTGGACGGCCTTGTTTCTTGTTGACCGCTGAGGCATTATCTATTCTGCCTTTGCAGGCCCTGTGGCGAGCTTGGCAATGATCCCGGGGGGAAACGCAATCTACTCGGGACATTACAGTGCCATGTCGGCCAGTGTCGTGTGAGCTGCTGCTAACATTGTTGATTGGTAATGGTGGGGCCATTTTTTTTGCCAAGTTTATTGAGGATTTTGACAGCCCAGAATATCCAGAATAGGGATAGCCTTCAACCAACCAGTAGACTGAGATGGGATAGGGTTTGAATTGGCGCAAGCTATATAACATTGACCATCATCAAAGACTATCCAAGTGCTATTGGACACTATGCCGTGCACCGATTGTGGTAAATCCAAATTGCCACTTTAATTATTGTCATTTTATTGTGAGGAAAACAGATGATCAACTGTGAGTTCAGATAAACCAAGGTCAGCATGTGAGGTCAACCAAATCTCTTGATACTTCTCAATCTTCTCACAATCCATGATGAACATGCCAACCAATGTTCATTTGCAGAACCATCCCAAAACAGCCGCACGGCCGTGGTAACACAAGTTAAAGAAAGGGGGTTTCGTTTCATCATTTCATCACCCCTTTTCATTTGACTGGTGGTGTCAGCTAGCTTGTCTTATTTTTCGCTCCTGTTTGGGATGATGCGCTCAGCTACAGTAACTCATAACTTTTTTCCCCACCTGCCAGGTGAGGGTTGTTAGATTTTATGTCAGTTGCCTCCTCCTCCTCCTCCTTCTCCTCCTCCTTCTCCTCCTCCTCCTCCGCCTCCTCCTCCGCCTCCTCCTGCCTCGTCCTCCTCTCCTCCTCCTCCTCGTCCTCCTCGTCGTCCTCGTCGTCCTCGTCGTCCTTGCTCAACTGCGACCCGCGATCCACAGTGCCGGACCTCAACCACGACCATCCACGCCCAGTGTTCCCTGCCGGACCTCAACCACGACCATCCTCGCCCAATGTTCCCTGCCGGACCTCAACCACGACCATCCTCGCCCAGTGTTCCCTGCCGGACCTCAACCACGACCATCCACGCCCAGTGTTCCCTGCCGGACCTCAACCGCGAGTATCCACGCCAAGTGTTCCCTGCCGGACCTCAACGATCCACGAGTGTTCCCTGCCGGACCTCATGTAGGAAGATATGGGACAAAGAATGTGCAGAAGAAAGTTAGAAAGAATGTCAGAAAGAATGTCAGAAGATATGCCAGAAGATATGCCAGAAGATATGCCAGATAGAATGCCAGATAATATGCCAGAAGATAGAATGCCAGATAGAATGCCAGAAGATTTGCCAGATAGAATGCCAGAAAATATGCCAGAAGATATGCCAGATAGATATGTCAGAAGATATGCCAGAAGATATGCCAGAAGATATGCCAGAAGATATGTCAGAATATATGCCAGAAGATATGTCAGATAGAATGCCAGAAGATATGTCAGAATATATGCCAGAAGATATGCCAGATAGAATGCCAGAAGATATGTCAGATAGAGTGCCAGAAGATATGCCAGATAGAATGCCAGAAGATTTGCCAGATAGAATGCCAGAAGATATGCCAGAAGATATGCCAGATCATATGCCAGAAGATATGCCAGATAGAATGCCAAATAGAATGTCAGAAGATATGTCAGATAGAATGCCAGAAGATTTGCCAGTAAGAAAATGTATAAATGTCATGGTGGGGATCACACGAAGTAAAGTAATTGTTTTATTTATTTATGTTTAACCTTAAGACAAGGATTCCAACTAAATCCGGCTGATATTCAACTATGATCAACTATGTGTAACTCACATATGTATTATATGTTTGCATATAATTATTATATATATATATATCTATTTGTATATATATATCTATATATATATATGTTTGGGATAGTACTTAGTTCTTAACCACCAGCCATCGAAGCCCAAGGTGGTTTGGTCTACCTCTGGGCCGTGAGCGGCACGGCGCTCTGTAAGTTGGACACCGAGGGTGGCAAGGTCAACAGCCTGGCGGTGAATCCAGGCACCATCGGACAGCTGCTGATCGCGCAGGAGAACGGCTACGTGACCGTTTGGTCGCAACGCTGAGGATGTGACTCGATGTTTCCGAGCGTCCTTAAATGATGGGAGAAGTCAGGAGTCACCCAGGCTTTTGAAAGGTGCCCCAACTAAGATGTTTGGGGGGTTGATGGGATAATGGAGAGCTCAGTAGAATTTGGAAAGATCCGGGGTGCGGGGTGAGGATTGACAAATAGTGAATTCCTACGTGAACCTTTCACCCCAAAGGGGTTTGAGTTTTTTCCAGCTCAAAGAATAGCAGCGTGCGAGTGGAAGGTGGTGTGCGAGCAGCTGATTTGTGGTGCTCATTGGTGGTCTAGGGGATAACCTGAAGGCTGCCCATTTTTCATCACAATTCGGACCACCAGAAACATAGAAAGTCGCCATTGAAATAAACAGGAATGATTAAAGTCATTGAGACCACCGCGCTTTTGATCATGTCAGATAGCTGTTTTGATCGTACATCCCCAGTTTTTTGTACTCCTACTGTACAGTAGTTTGATTGTTGTTTCCAGTTTTGCAACCCTGGAATCTGCGATTTATGTTCTATGCCTTTTCAATTGTTTTGTGCAATATTTGACTAGTTGTCCAAATTTTCTATTTGGTGATCTTTGGTTGCTGCCCTCAACGCCCACACCGCACCTGCTCAAGCTTTGGCTGCCCCAACCTTCCATGACTTGTCGGCCCTGGAAGCTGTTGAGCTTAACATGGCTGAGCTTGCGCGGGGCTGTGGGCAGCAACGCGTCTCACTATCCCTATGAGGCGTGCGGGGAAAATGGGAAGTTTGGTGGGCCCCCTTAGCATCTTAGTTGGGGCCTATGGCCCGTGCAAGCAGGAAACATGAACCGGCAGCCCATCGTGCAAACTTGCAAGAGGGGGTCAATGTCGTTTCTTTCCGCTCTGTGGGTGAAATAAACATTTTTTTCCCGCTACAACACATCATTTCTAGTTGATTCATCCCTGTTTCTGTTGGTTTGTCCCCAGTCCCTTAGGACCCTGGGGATTCATGGCAGAACCGAGACTAACCAGGACCTGATTTCCGAGACCGTGGCCTACTGCTATCGCGCTTTGGTGCGCGACTCTGGGTGTGTCTCACTTCAACACGCTTCGGGACCATGGTGGCTGCTGAGTGGTTTAACAGGGGTTAGAATATATCCATACACTCCACAAGTATAATCAAACGTGGCTTGCTGGAAAATCTCCCATTTATAATATTTATAGTGGCTTGTCCTATCAACACCTTAATTTAATGGAAATTTTCCAATTGCCATGGTTTGATTACCGGAGGGTTTCTATGATTTAAATTGATTCAAATATGTATGACATTTTGATACACACCTTCTAACTTCTGACATTATTGTAGGCGGGTCGCAAGGGATTGCCGAACCCCAAGCCAGCTTCATTGCCTGTCGACCCAAAACCAGATGATTGAACATGATCAAGACATCTGAAACTATCCTATTTGCTGGGGATCCCACTTGCGAACCACACTAAAACTGGTGCCCTGATTAGAGTCCTTGTTCAGATTGGTATGTCGCCGCATTAGTTGGTTGAAACGCCCATTTTTTGGTGGGTCATTTCGCTTTCATCGGTTTGGAAGATGTTGGAACAAGCCTTGCCATGGTGCTCATCAACATCATCAACCTCTCAGGGAAAGCCATGGTCACCCAGGTTGTCTTGATCAGAAGTATGGCAAGAACGTCCGCAGGAAGAAAATTCGCCGCCCGGGCGTTGGTTGGCTCTGCGATAAGGCCTGCTACGATGATTTGAAGCTGGGCTGCAAGTAGATTGGTCAAGCTAAGGTGCTCAAAAGAACCAATTTTGCTTCACTTGGTTTATACCCTCTGGTAATTTAGCATAGCTGTTGAAAATTGCAATCTATAGTTGATTTACCTAGTAAAAATGGTGATTATCCATATAGTTATGTTAGTTTACCAGAGGGTAATTCATATACTATTGATTTTGAACAGGATCATCAACCGTCATCAACCCATTTCCATGACTGGGACTGGGCTTTTCGGATGTCGTTGCTGAGGAAAGGATTCCGTGGCGCCGCTTGGCAGCGAGCCAGGACTTTCTCATTCAGTGCTGCTGGTTTAAGCATTTAACCTGGATTAACCTGGCATAAAATGACTAACTAAGCAAGAAAACTCGGATCAAGCCGAACAAAATAAACCAACCATAACTGAATTTGATGAATATTTAGAGATATAGCATCATTCCAACCGCGCGAGGTCTGATTATTGAATTTCATTGATATGTTGGATTCTTTCAACCTCCCAAGCTGGAACAAAGGCAATTAGCTCAGGTTTGCAAAGGGAAGCTTCATGATACTTCATGATTTTCCAAAAAGAAGCGGAAAGCCATGGTAATTCCAATGGCTTTCTGTTGAACTCCATTTGCCATCATTTACATGTCTATCATTTTGGTGGCATTAAACATCCAATGCGATACCCCGTCAACATGGAATACACATTAATTACGCGAATTGCGAATGGTGTGTGCATATACATTAATACCGATACTAGTAATCATCATGTCAATGATTTTCAAAAAAAATATCCTAAAAATATTGATCAGAACAATCAAATACT